TGCCACTCTGCCATGGCATAGCAAGACATGTAATGAATCATGCACTGGCTGTCCAGGCAGAAGTGACACACGTTGCTTCTCACACTTCGTTGGCCAATGCAAGTTTGGTGATCATATGTGGTGTAAGGGTGGGGAATTGAAAAGCCATTTTACCCTGTGTCCAAAAAGATGAGAATTGATCATAATTGCCCCAGTTACTACCCCAAGGGATTTATCTCTAAAAACCAATAGACACACATAAAAGACTTACTTTTAACCATTGCTTCTGTTTTTTACCTCCTGATTGTCCCGCCTAAGTGAGACATCAGAATGTGTTCATGGAATCCTGGAAATTCTGCGTCCTTGTGGTCAGCTCCATCTCATTCTGCCATCCACTTTTAGGCCAGGGCGACTGACTCTTGCTGGGGTTTCATTTAGGGTTTTTGGTATTTGCTAAGTCCTGATACAAAGAGAAAGTTGACCCAGTTCCCTGCGTGTACCTCGTCCTTCTTCCTCCAAAGAATCCCGTCTCTCTAGCCGCAGAATAGTTGCTAATCCCTGAGCATACTGTGTTATTCCATGCTCTATGCCTTTGTGCATATGGTTCCTTTATAGAAATGCCCATCCCAAGGTACCTGGGTGGCTCAGTCGGTTGAGCATCCGACTCTTGGTTTCGGCTCAGGTCATGATCTCACGGTTCGTGGGATTGAGCTCCTCGTTGGGCTCTGTGCTGACAGCATGGAGCCTGCTTGGGATTCTCTCTCTTCCTCTCTGCCTGTCCCTCCCCTACTTGTGTGTGTGCTCTCTCTTTCTCTCAAAATAAATAAATAAACATTAAAAAAAGAAAGAAAGAAATGCCCGGCCCATGCCACTGTCCAACACCTCACACAGACTCATATTTATCCCAAGGACTCAACTCAAATTTGTCTTCCTGGAATTTTTGTCTACTACTTCCTTATATGTGAATCTATTGGTTTTCTGTAAAGCTCCTTTACCACCCTTTTCTTTAATTGACCATTTGTGCCTTTTGCTAAGGATGTAAAGGTAGACATGCTGTCTCTTTCCATGTGTGTATCCACATTAATGGCCAGAGAGTAACTTCATAGGTCTTTATTGAATCTCTAGAGCTAACAGGAGAGAGAAGTATGGCCCATACAGAGCAGTTATAGTAGGTCGTCTTAAGAAAAAAATACCTTCTTTCAATTAAATTATTTCTAACCACTAAAAGTTGACCCTTTCTTTTATATAACAAGTGACCCGACATAGTTCCCTATAACGGAAGGAGTTTAGTAAAGATTTCAGCTGTGCTTGGGTATCAGCAACTGGTTTTTTGCACAGTTTGTTTGTGCATTACACTTACAGTCCTGTGGCCTAGACTGGCTGCTGTTGGTTACCAGGAGATGGATGGGGTTGGCAGATGGACGAGGTCCCTGATGGAGGGCTGTGAACTGCAGTGAGGCATTGCCAGACACGTTCCTCTGACAAAGAAAGAAAGCTCTGAGGTCAAAACACATTCAGTCTGCCACTTTTTTTTTTTTCTAATTGCCGAGGGAAAGAATTGCATACCGTGTTCTTCAGGTATATATTTTAAGATCCTGTGCCCCCATTCCAAGCGTTCTGTAATATATGCAGTATGTGGAGAGGAGGAAAGGAAAATAGTGAGGGAGATCAAAAAAAATGTATTTAAAATAATTTGATTCAAATGACCTACTTTCCAAGCCCATAACACCAATGTTTTGTGCCAATCAGATGCATAGGCCGTGCACAAACGGCTTCTCAGAAGAATACACAGCAGAATGCTGATTGGGAGACGTGGGCAGGAACTGGACATCTTCAAGAGGGTGGCCCTCCCAACTTGGCAGGTGGCCAGGTGAAGCCCCAGATGAAATGGAGTTTTAGGTAGAGGGCCACTCATCTCATTGCCAGTCCCTGGTGGTACTTGACGTTCCAGCATAATTCTTAACAGTGCCCTGTTTGGGTCTCAAAAGTGTCCTGGTCTGGAATGGGCACCCTGGTTTTAGGTCCCCCAGAATGGAGAATATTGGAGTGATGGGTGGGAAGCAGCAAGACTCCAGAGTGAAGAGGGCTCAGGGGAGAATTATTTTATGAGCGTACATTCTGTACAGGGTTTTCCTTAAAAGGCTTCATATAGTGCTTTCCGAAATGCCTCGCAGACTCTCTTCTGACGCACTTCTCGACATCAGTTTATTTTTCTTCGGTGCAGCTTTCATGGGGCCAGTGTGTCTCAACACAGCCTGGATTTCTTTTAGACTCATGGGCAGCAGGACCGCATGTGTGTGTGTCTCAAGCCTGGACAGATTGGCTGTGAACGGGGTGATAAGAATAGAGAGAAGCGCATACCAGTAGACCACACTTCCTGTGCACAAGCCTTTGAATACTGCATTTCACTGTCTGAAATAGCATTCATCTTAAGGCTGGGATCATTTATTCCCCGTGGAATTAAGCAATAGCACTGGCAGCAAAAGCAACTATTTTGGGAAGGAGATGTGGGAGGAATTTTGCCGTGTCTGACAGGCTAGGCAGAAATACCCTTCGTGCTTGTGAAGACCACGCTGTTCGCCGAAGCCCCGGTAAATGGGAATTGACGACTTTCAGATAATCCCACATGTAAGTAATGTCCAGGCTAATGTACACACACTGTGATCTGTAAAGGTCAGTAAAGACTGAGTTTAGATGCTTCAACTTAAGTCCCCCAAATGGCAGAAAGAAGAACTTTTCTTTGGAGATGAGCAGTAGCTTCTAACGCAGATGCTGTTGAGAAGGGTTAAACTATAACACCTCGTTCCTGTCCCTCTCTTGACATATGCCCTAGAACGTTGTTTTTTGCAAATTCCCATGTAAACGTTTCTCGATTGTTGAAGGGGTTTCAAATAAGGCAATGAGGGCTGTGCCCCCCCCCACTCCCTCCCCATAAGGCTGAGGTGGGTAGGGCTTGGCAGCCGGTGGCAGCTGCAGAGATAAATAAACACCGGGCTCCTGGATGGGCAGGATGCAGGAGCGCGTGGGAAGAGGTTGTGCGGCTATGAGTACCTTCCGTGGGACGAGGCCATGAGGACGGAGCTGCAGCTGGAGACCAGAAGTTCAGTCAGTGAAAGGGAGGTGGGGGCTTAGAGGAGCCAGTTTAATAGTCCTTTTGATCAAGCTATTGTATTTGAGGGGGCTGGGGGGGAGCATACTTTTTAGAGGACGGGTAAAAGCCAGATACGACTTAAATTTTTCTGTCTTGTCACTTAATTCATGTATTTTAATGGAAACCAGGGAATTATGTGGGTCTGTTCCAATTTAACTTTTCTATTAGATGGTCGTCAACTAGTAAAGAGCTGACTGCCAGAATTTTGTCTTTATAAATTAGCTGCCATTAGAAAGTGAAAATAGCAGCCCAGTGTTACTTTAAAATGTTCTATTTTGTTACTGATAACCAGTTTGGAAAATGTTTATCTATGGAAGGCTTCCGAATTCTGTTTTCAATGTGGTACATATAACCACAACAGGGTTTTTGTTTTTGTTTTTGTTTGTTTTTTTTTTTGTTATTTTATCATTTTTCTTTTCACTTTGGCCTTGGAATTATTGTAGGAGGCAAAGATGTTGAGGTTCCCCCACCCCAAAGAGTGCTATCCAGGCTTATGACAAGCATCTCATAAATTATATCCTATGCCTCACAAACATATAAGTGAATTTGCTTAAAGTCAAAAACATCAATATCTACTTGTTTTGCATGGGAAACTTGGTGAAGGGTCAGTAGTGGTATTGTTATAGATATTAATGGCCTGTATATTGATTTTTTTAAGTTTATTTATTTATTTTGAGAAAGAGAGAGTATGTGCAGGGGAGGGACAGAGCGAGAGCAAGAGAGAGAGAGAGAGAGAGAGAGAGAGAGAGAGAGAGAGAATCCCAAGCGGGCTGACTTGTCAGTGTGGAGCCCAATGCAGGACTTGAACCCACGAACCATGAGATCATGACCTGAGCCAAAATCTAGAGTCAGACGCTTAACCGACTGAGCCAGACACCCCTTATATTGATTTTTGTAAACAAGTGAACTATCATTTTATTTTTCAGTTAACTGAACCAAAGATGTAATGGTATCAGAATCTGAAATACCTTGATGTCTTTCTATCTGGACTTGACATGAAAAGTTTTTCATTTTTATGCAACATTTCTACTTCTTTATAATTTTATTTTTTCTTGATTTTTATTTTGTGTTTATTTATTTATTTTGAGAGAGAGAGAGCACAAGTGGGGGAGGAACGGGGCAGGGGGAGAGGGAATCCCAAGCAGACTCTGCACTGACAGAGCCCTATGTGGGGCTTGAACCCACGAACCATGAGATCATGACCTGAGCTGAAGTCAAGAGTTAGATGCTTAACCAACTGAGCCACCCAGGTGTCCCTCTACTTCTTTATAATTTTAATTACTCATGTGAGAAAATGGTGGAAAATACCTTTATCTTGTAAGAAGACATAAGAAAAGTATTGAAAAATTTGAAGCATGTCAAGAAAAAAATATTGAAAAAATTAAAAAAAAATTATATTTTAAATTAAAAGATCCTTTAAGTAGTATTCGTCTTTTTGTGCATCTATTTGTCTAGGATGTTAGAGAATTAATTTTAAGTGCAAGTGTTAAGTTGGCTAATATGTTAGAGGCAGAGAGATAGAAATGGAAGGAGGGTGGAGATTTTTTAAAAAGGAGATTGAGGGGCACCTGGGTGGCTCGGGTGGGTGGCCGACTCTTAATGTTGGTTCAAGTCATGATCTCGCCATTCCTGAGTTCGAGCCCTGCATTGGGATCCAGGCTGACAGTGCGGAGCCTGTGTGGGATTCTCTCTCTCTCTCTGTCCTCTCTCTTCCTCTCGTGCACATGCTCTATGTGAGTAAATAAGTAAACTTAAAAATGGATTTACCTGTGGGATGAAATTGCCAGTGGTCCCAGCCTCTTCAGTCTTTTTATTTGTGATTGTCTGCATTCTCACACACTCACTGACCTTCCCGTCTTCTGTGTTCTAGGAGAGACAGCGTCTGGAGACGATCCTCAGTCTCTGTGCTGAATACACAAAGCCCGACAGTCGCTTGTCCACTGGCACCACCGTGGCAGATGTGCAGAAAATCAATAAGGAGCTCGAGAAGCTGCAGCTCTCTGATGAGGAGTCTGTGTTTGAAGAAGCCGTGATGAGCCCTGAAACCAGATACAGGTGCCACCAGAAAGGCTCTCTCCAAGAGACGGACTTGGCAGTCTTCGGGGGCGTTGGTCAGAGCAGCGCCAGCTTCCTTTCCCCCAGGAGCATCAGGAATGAGGACCTGCTCAGGGACCTCACGTCTGCCTTCCTGAAACCTTCCAACGAGTCCGCTTATCTTAGTATCCTACCGAAGGTAAAGGCTACAGAGCAAGAAAGACCAGGATTTAGGGCCTGGGGCTCTGCATCTGCATTGGCCTAGAGACTAGAGGTTTTACCGTGCTTGTTTTCCAAAATGTTTTCAGTGAAGCTTCCATTTAAGAGGTAATTAGCTAAACAATGGGCAGCAAATTAGGGTGTTTAGTGTGAAGTAACAAATTTGCACTGTAAAAAACGTAGCAGTACAGAAAAGTAAGAAGAAGGAAGTTTCTCTTTTCTCTGCCCTCTCCCAGTTGTACACCTGAGAGATAAACACAAAGTATCTTACCTGCCTTCTTAATATTTCTGTGCATATACAAAGCCCCATGTTATAGGTACAGATGTACAGGTACACACACATAGTGTTCTGGTCTTTCTTTCCTCACTAAATGTCTTACACATCTTTGTGTTTCAGTACACACAGCTCTGCCTCATTCTTTTCAACAGCTGAATAGTATTCTCTTGTTTGGAAATACTAGTTATTTTATTATTATTTTTTTTAAGTTTATTTGAGAGAGACAGAGCACGAGTGGGGGAGGGGCAGAGAGAGAGGGAGAGAGAGAATCCCAAGCAGACTCCATGCTGTCATCATGGAGCCTGATGCAAGGCTCTCACCCACGAAACTGAGAGATCATGACCTGAGCCGAAACCAAGAATCAGACACTTAACCGACTGAGCCACCCAGGCACCCCTAGAAATACTATTTAAATTGTTTTCTACTTTTTTTATTAATAAAACCTATATGCAGCAAATATTCTAGTATGTGTGTATACTATATATATATATATACTATATATATACTATATATATATATATACACACACACACACATATATATAGATGTATAGATAGGTAGATAGATAATCTATACAGATATATCTATACAGATATATATATATATATATATATATATATATATACCTATATATATGTCTATATATATATTTGCACCACTGTGCAAATGTATCTGCAAGATCACTTACTAAAATTGAAATTAATGGATGAAAGAGTTTGCATATTATTCATGTTAGTCAATTATTCCAAATTATCCTCTGAAAAGACTGTATATTTCCAGGCGACGCTTTCGCTAACAGTTTATGGGCATCCCTTGCTCTTCATACACTTGCCAAGGCTGTATATTATCAAAATTCTTCAATTGGCCTGATTAATTGGTGTTTAATTTGCTTGTCTTTAATTATGCATGAAGTTGGGCATCTTTTCATATTTTAGTCGTTAAGTTGTATTTTGACCCACTTCTTCACGTTCTTCACTCATTTTTAAAAATTGTCTTGTTTTTGGGGCGCCTGGGTGGCGCAGTCGGTTAAGCGTCCGACTTCAGCCAGGTCACAATCTCGCGGTCCGTGAGTTCGAGCCCCGCATCAGGCTCTGGGCTGATGGCTCGGAGCCTGGAGCCTGTTTCTGATTCTGTGTCTCCCTCTCTCTCTGCCCCTCCCCTGTTCATGCTCTGTCTCTCTCTGTCCCAAAAATAAATTAAAAAAAAAAAAAGTTTAAAAAAAATTGTCTTGTTTTTACTAAGTAGTGAGAGTTATAAGAAAATTAGTGTCTTATCATGAGTGGTCTTCCCCTTGACTTTACTCCTGATATTTTTTAGATATATAAGAGTTTAAGATTCACAGTTAGTCATAATTATTACTTAGTCTCCTGGCTGTATATTGATTTTAAAATGTCTTCTGAATTTGAGGATTTCTTAAATGGAATTGAAGGATAATCTCCTGGTGTTACTTTTTTCACATAAGTTAGGAATCTTTTTTCAATGAAATTAAAAATTGCCCTACGTCTTTTCTAGAAAGGTCATAAGAGAGCTGTAATAAGATATAAATTTTATCGGGATAAAATAAACACACAAAAAGTGGTAATAAGGAGGAAAAAACAGAAACCATAATCACAAGAATTTACTTAGTTAAATAGACAGGATTAGGTTATTAAGTAACTCTGATCATTAAGTTCAATTCTGAGATTCATGGCAATTATGGCCAAAGGATCAAAAACAAAAAAGATATATCAGTTAAATTTTTCTTATAAGAGGGACACAAACCGGTTAAGAGAAAGACGTCATCATGATCCCTAATTCTGGAGGTAGTTTATCACATGGAGTATAGTTGAGGGGGAATTGGTGTGTTTGTTTTGTCTTTGGCCACAACAAGACTTTTTCAGTGTTCCTAGTTAGCAGTCCACATCTACCTTCTGAGTCCCTTCTTCATCTGCATTAGGACTCGGAAATGTGCAATCCTTCTTTCTCCTGATGACCACATTGACCTTCCTCATTCTCAGTGTAGAGGAGTTCTGAATAGGACATCTGTCTCTATTGCCAGAATGTTGTAACTGTTAGAAACTAGGATCTGGGGGGCAAATCAAAAGTCGTTTGTGTTCAGGCAAAGTAAATGGCCCACCGTTTGAAGACTTGAGCTGTTTTCATCAACCACTGGGTTTTCTTTGAAGTCCGTGGCTTCCTTTACATTTAAAATCCTTTCCCATTTCGTCCATCATGGACAGCTGCCAGATTTTTGTTAAAACAGTAAGCTGTGTGTGTCTCTCTCTAAGGACAATCTTTAGGGAGACAGGTTTCCTCCTGAAGAGGGCTGTGACAAGAAAGCTGCTGGTGTGTAAATGGGCGGATCATGGCAGATGTTTTTAATTGCTCAAATATGCTTTTGTGGAAAAGGAGGCCTCTGAAGCTTCCAGCAGCCTCCGTTGTGGCAAGACATATAAGACCGTGCATCCTTTCGAGACAGGAAATATCAAAGGCACCTCTGGTTACAGGCAACAGCTTAGACAGGCAGCAAGTGAGGGGGATGAGTTCCAAGGAGGGAGGTTTGCATTTATTACTTTTTGGAGACAGATATATGTTACTTCAAGACAACAGACAGAAGAATGCTTTCTTAAAAGTCCTGCCCATTTGTTTTGGACGCTTTTCTCTTAGTCATCTGCTCGCTGAATTCCTGGCTTAGCAAAGGACAGTGTTTGTTATTCATCGATCTAAGGATGAGTGGAGAAGAATGTGAAAACACTCTAAGCTGCTTTAAGGAAATGAAGATTTTAATGATATTTAGGAAACCTGAGATTTACCATTCTGGAACTTGTTTTACCTAACACTTAAAGATACCGATGACCTTAGAAATAGGCTAATTTTATTTTTTTTTTTAATTTTTTTTTCAACGTTTTTATTTATTTTTGGGACAGAGAGAGACAGAGCATGAACGGGGGAGGAGCAGAGAGAGAGGGAGACACAGAATCGGAAACAGGCTCCAGGCTCCGAGCCATCAGCCCAGAGCCTGACGCGGGGCTCGAACTCGCGGACCGCGAGATCGTGACCTGGCTGAAGTCGGACGCTTAACCGACTGCGCCACCCAGGCGCCCCTAGGCTAATTTTAACTGGCTTTTGTGAACTTGTCTTCCTCCCCCTGAGGTGAAAGCTGAGAGTAGCTCTCTCTTCTTTCTCCCTTTCTTCCTGTCACGTTGAGATGGGATTGGCGCACGGCACCGTGTACATCTGTGCGTGGCATCATGACCTGACCCACACATATTGTGACATGATTACCACAAGTTTAGCTAACATCCATCACCTCATTTAGTTATTTGAGAAAAAAATATGATTTTTCCTCGAGAACTTTTTCATTCTTCTCTTTTTAGTAATCATTCTGTCTACAGTGGACAACCCTCACACTTGTAACTTCCTCTGGTTGCAAGAAGTTTCTAGGAAGAGATTGGGGGGGGAGGGGGGAAGGAAGCTACAAAGTGTCTTGTTCCTACTCTCCCTCCCCTTTCTCTGTGGAGGCCAGGTTACCTCAAAGAAGGGATATTTAGAGATGTTTATACATGTGTAAACAATATTTTCATCCCATTCTATCACAAACCATTCAGAGTTTTAGAATGCCTTTGGGAGCTATTGCTTTTTTATAAATAACAAAAAGAACAACCGTTTCCTAGAGAGCATTTATTGCTATAAACAGCCTCTCGAGTTGTCTGTTATCAAATATGCTGATGGTGATAAATTTTTTAGAAACTTTCAGTTAGACATTTATAATTGCCACTGTTCTCTTTCTTCACCCACTGCCTGCTTAGAAAGTTTGTAGTTATGCAGATTGTTCAGTTTTTGTTTTCTCCTAATGCTTTACTTCCACCAAGTGAGAGAGATATTTTTAAACCCTGTTGGCGGTTGAAACCTAATATGAAATGTTGACCCAACAGGATACTGGCCTTCTTGAGGCTTTCCTGCTAGGATTACACGTCAGTGATTTCGGAATGCCATTCACTGTTACAGGCGTCCCTCACGCCCTAAAACGGGCACCTGAGTATTAGGACAATGAGATTCATTGTCTGTGATCAAAAAAAGTCAGCAGTTGTTTTATTAATTGGTAAAATGCTGCATTGAAGATGGCCATTAAAGGGCTAAATGTTAAAACTTGGAAGGTCCGCATACCTCTGCGAATCAACCGGAGATACTGTGGCATTTCAATTGTTTAATCTCTGTGAGGAGCAGTGAAGTAGGGTAAAGAATAAAGAATATGAATAAAGAATATGACATGATGGCTATCTTCCTAAAGTTATTTTTAAGATCATTAAATAAATGAACTTAGCACGGCATACCAAATGTTAATGATCTCTTTGGTTAGTATGAATATTCTGTGTACCGATTTATGAGTAATTTTCAATAATTTACTTATGGAGGCTGCTGTTTTCACTGTGCAATTGTGAAATTGTTTGATGATTGACTTACTAATGAAAAGAAATTATTTCTTTTTCAAAGAGAGATAGAAATTAAGTAAATAATGTGCCAATCCCCCAGCACCCCTTGACCTACAGAGAGACTGATCTCTATCAGGTGGTATCTAGGGTGACTAATCGGAAATTCCTGAAAGAAGAGGCTATTTTCAATTCACTCTACTCTCTTCATAAAACAATAGGCAGTCCCATTTTGGCTAAATGTGTATGATCTAAAATATTTCTTTATTTCCTGGGCATTTGTTGTAACTCTGTTACACCTAAGGGGTGTAAGTATGCCCTCTCTTACTTAATTTCTTTCCTGACTTTCACTTTCCTTTCCAAGGGAACACAGGTTTTTCTGTGAAGTGGTTTTATAAATGATAACCAGTGTGCTATTTTGTGTCATAAAAGCCCATCGGCCCAGGGAGTGTCTTAAACATTAGACGTGAAGAAAGTAGTGTAGGATAAAGACAGTAAGTAGTGTGTGAGCACAAGTGAAACATGACTTTATATTAAGTGTGTAGTTTTTAGTCATCTGGGGAGTCACTAAAGTAACGAGGTCTTGTATTGTCATGGTTTTTCACTTCATGGAACATTTCGGTGAAATGGGCCAAGTGTATCGTGTCCTCACTTTTCCACCATGTGTTGGAAAAGAAACAAATCAGCCTGAATACTCATCTGCAGATAAGCCTAGTAGTGGGACGCAGTAGTGAGGCTGGAGATTGAAGAGACCATTTTAGGAGATGTGCTCACTTGGAGACGGGAGAGAATATGGGGCTTGGCGTGAGGGTAGCAGCCTGTTCGAGAGATCCCTGAGGAAGATGTCAAAAGTCTTGTCTAGCTCTAGTTCTAGTTCTTTGCCATGCCAAACTTTCTCTATAACCTTAGAGCAGTCACTGTAATTTCTATGGACCACAACCTCCTCATCTGTAAAATCTCTTAGTTATTTCAGCTTTAAAAGGATATGAATTGGTACATTTAAGTTGGTTTGTATGAGGTAACTTAAGAACCTTACTGCTGGGGATCTGTGAGAAAATGCACGATTCCAATTGAACAATCACAAGGATGCTTTTAGAATTCCAAGAGGCACAGAGACTGTGAAACACTAGACTTACTACTGGTTTATAAATTGGGAAATTCTGGCGTGGAAATGTGAATAGCCCTTTTCTGTGTTGATTAATTGCAGACCCCAGAGGGTATAAATGAAGAACAAAGGATTCAGGAGTTGGCAGCAATGGAAGAGACCCGGATAGCAATTCTCAATAACCTCGAGGAACTTGAACAAAAAATCAAAGATATAAATGACCAGATGGATGAATCTTCCAGAGAGGTATAAACCAGGGTTTGACTTTTTACCCTTCTCTTTTTTCCTCTCTTTCCTTCAGCTTAAAAATATTACTACCTATTAGGGCATAGGCTTTGGAAGCAGAATACATAGAAATCAACATGAGTTAACATTTTTTTTTCAGTGAGTCCTGTATAGGGTAAAAATACCTTTTTTAAAATATTTCCTTTTTCCTTGCCTTTTTTTTTAAGTCAGATGAAACAAACATATGAAGCCATTTTTAACGAACTCTGGGTATAACCAATTTTGTCTTAACTAGTGTATGCTTTCTGACTTTCTACATGCAGATCTCAGCTGAGGTCCCATATATTTAGGTCTCCAAGTTCAAATCCAACAAACACTTTCTGAATATGCTCACTATGCATTGGACATCATGTTGGTACACAGGGGGATTTGCATATGAATCAGTCCTTGACCTCGCTTCTGGGCTTTGTAGACCAGAGAGGAAACAGACACATGGTCTATTACTGTATCTCCATGGAGCAAGAAGGAACAAATGATTCTGCCTAGCATGTTTATACTCACAGATGATGCAGATAGCTATAAGTAGAAGGGTACTGCTCACCTGTCATCTTATACACAGCCCTTGGATGCCCCTCCTGCTGACATTGCTAAGAATGCATTGCTTGCATGCTGACTGGGTGTAATTTTCACCTCCCATGCTCTGTGGACAAAGAAAGACAAGGCTGCTCCCAAGATGGTTCGTGCTTGAGCCTGAATCTGAGCAAATCGGCAAAATATTATTGAGAAGTAAGCAGAAGAGGGGTTACAGTAGAAAAAGTAAATGATAGGTAGATTTCTTAGTGAATATATTGTGGGCTCACCAGCTTCCTTACGTAGGAATTTCGAATCTCAACTGGACTCTCGGAACTGTTCTCTAAGGCACCAAAGTCCGGCTGATAACATAGTACTTTTTGAAATTTGTAGCCGTTAAAAATGCATCTCTAACGTGGGCAGTTGAGAATCTCTCTGAAAGTGAAACACCTCTGAGCTTTGTTTTGTGTCCCCAGTTGGATATGGAATGTGCTCTTTTGGACGGAGAACAGAAATCTGAAACAACTGAACTTATGAAAGAGAAGGAGATTTTGGATCATCTAAACCGGAAAATAGCCGAACTGGAAAAGAACATTGTCGGTGAAAAGACCAAGGTAAAAGAAAAGTATATTTGACTGCAATCTTTATGAGTAATATGGTGGTTCTATTTGTTTGAATTTAAATGTCATATGAATTCCCTTGGTTTTGGATTTGTGTGTCATGCTCCTACAGACAGTAGTACCAGAGGAAAGTCTTAAGATGAGGTAAGTTCTTCCCAAAGAACCGTCAGGGACTGAGCAGCAGGTGCTAAGGGAGTAGAGCCCATGAAACTTTCGAGCTGATAGGAAAGCTTCTCCTACTTGAGATGAGTGACTTAACTGCTTTTTTCCAACAGCCTTGCTGCTCTTCTGATTGTGCTGTTTTTTTTAAAAAATGGTTTTAGTATACTAAACTTCTTAACCACTGGTATCCTATAGGGGATGACTTAAGCATATTTGAATACGGTTGTCTTTTTTTTTTTTTTTTGTCATTTTTCTGGTTGTTATTTTCTCTGGGAAATAGTTTACTTACTCTCCTACCACATTTGGAGTCAGTGATGGCTAAACTAAGCCTAAAATTAAAAAAATGAAATTCCGATTTAGGAAAGAGAAAGCAAACGAACTTTAACACGTTTTTTTCTTTTTTCGTTGCTCACCATCTTCTTTACTAAGCCAAGAAAAAGACAAAAAATTCCGTTTGAGCAAGTTCTAGTAGGCAAGGATTTCTATGTGGAAGGATTTCTGCTGAATGCGGCTTCCTTTTTTAGGCTCTTCTTTGTTTGAGACCTATAAATAAGGGCATTTGATCTTGGTGCCAGAGAATGAGCTCAAAGTGATATTGTCAGAAATTGATGTCAGACTAAAAGCTGCACATCAATTTCTTGGTTGCCTGCTTGTCAAGATTAACTACACAGCTTTTTCACATTAAGTTTTATGTATGTTCCTTCAAGCTCCAGGCTTTGAAACAGTAAAGAATCCATTTGGGTAGGTGGTATGTATGTCTTTAAAAGCTCAAAACCAAGTCAAAGGATTAATTGTCTAGATCTGCACTTAAGGAGGATGATGCTTTTCAAAGATTCTGCCCTGATACAGCAAGGAACAGTGGGAAGCAGTAGATGTGTTTGTTTGGGGTGCTTATTAGTATTTTACTATTTATGTCATACTGGAAAACTCATGGGACATAAGATAGGGTATCATGTTATCTATGAGCCTCTCTGCCTTCCCCATCCATGTAGCATGTGGTTATTTATCTTTGTGCAGCCCACATATGGCACGGCCCGCAAATTCTGTTTGTCTCCATCATTAGCATGAGACAGAAAAGTGAAGCAAATCGGGTCAATGCTTAACCCCACTTCCCAGGGAAAGTTGTGTCATATTCTGTGGCCCTCAGGGCATAGTAGACCTCCAGGAACACGGGCAGAAACAAGGAAGGAGGCCACCTCCATCCTTCCTATTATTGTGTTGGTAAGCCTGACAGACGCTCTGCATAGGAGAGGGGACAGTGGAGGCTTCAAGTGTGGGATTGGCCCTTGCAGCTGTTGGGGGATTCATTAGTCTTAGAAAGTTAGATTATTGTCTGTCATCACACGATGTGAAAAATGGCAGAAACTGGCTTTGGGATTCCAGAGAAGGATGAGGGAAGTGGAAACAGACCGGGTGAGATGATGTTATACATACTTTTGACAACCAAAGTCAAATAGAGACTCAGCACCACTTGGCAGCATTATCGTGTTTTTTCAAAGAAACTTAAACCATTTTATGACATGGCTATTTCATTCTTTTACTCTACTCAAACCTCTGGTCCATTTTCCTCCCGCTGAGATGACCTCACCACCTACTTCCCTGAGAAACCAGATGTATCCCATCCCTTCAAGCTAAGGAGGGTTCCCTCTTCTCCTCAAAGATAAGTGCCTTAAAGGTCAGTTCTTGTACCCTATCACTCCATTGTGAGCCCTCTTCCTCACTTCCTGATTTACCATTCCCCCAGATGCAGTTGGCTGAGGCCCCCACTATTCCATCAGGTTTGTGCCTGTTAAGACTCCTGAAGCCCTAGGTGCCGCCCACCTCACTGCATGCTTTTTAGTCCTCTTGTGATCAGACTTCCTGAGCAGCATTCAAGACAGGGGACAAACCTGTGTCCTTGCCCTGGCCCCTCCCTGCCCCACCCCTTGGCCTCTGGGTGCCCCCTCATCTGGTATTCCTTGTCTTTCTCTTACTCATTGTCTCTGACTTTTCCAACTGAGTTCCCTTTGCTTGTCCCTCTGCCTCTATACAACCAGTTGTTAGAGTGTTTGTCTCTGAGCTGAACCCTCTTCTCTTGTAGCCTCACATTCTTTTATAGCCACGGCTTCCCATCACCTGTATATGCTGGTGACTATCAAGTGTATGTCTTTAGCCTACAACCCTTTTCTGAACTTCTGACTCCTATCCAGTAGCCTACCGGACATCTACACTCAGAAATTTCATGGCTATTGCCAAGTGAACACTCATAATGAACTCTTGATCCTTCCCCTTGTCTTCCAAATCCCTCCCGGCCACCCACCCACCCCTGCCTCCCCCCCCCCCCACCGCCACCGACCCCCGCCCTGGCCTCCCCCAGTCCTCTTCTTCCTCCAGTTTTCCCAGTCTGGGCGATGGCATATAGAGCCACCTCTAGGTCCAAATAGAAACCTGGAGGTAGATCTTGACACTTCTTTTTCTCCATCATCCTCACATTATAGTGATTCCAGAAAGAGTTCCCAATTACTTCAACCTCTCAGCATCTCCTCTAACAGCCTTCTCTTCTAAACCATCAGAATCTCTTCTTTAGTTAACACTCCGTTTGCTTTCCTTTAGTTCCTTCTCTTCACAGCAGTGAGAGTGATCTTTAAAAATACAGACATTGGGTCATGGTGCACCTGGGTGGCTCAGTCAGTTAAGCCTCTGACTCTTGATTTCGGCTCAGGTCATGATCCATGGTGAGCGTGGAGCCTGCTGGGGATTCTTTCACTCCCTCTCTGCCCCTCTCTCATTCGCTCTAGATAGATAGATAAATAAATAAATAAGTAAATAAGTAAATAAATAAATATTAGATCATATCATTCTGATTTGTGTTCCAGCATATTTTATATGAATCTTAATTCCTGAGCTGGCGTGGGCCTTTCTGTCATTTCCCCCTCCTTCATATGATGTGCACGGTGGCCTTCTTTCTATTTGTTTAGACAGCCATCCTCCCCTACTTCCTGCCAGATCTGTTTCCTTGCAGATCTGTTTCCCATGCCTGGAATTCCCTGCCCCATATTCCATATCTTGTCGGTTCTGTCCTTCAGGGCGTAGGTTCATTGTTAGCTTTTCAGAAAAGCCCTTTCAGGCTGTTCCAGTCCGGAGTGTGTTCTCCCTGTTGTTCTTTTAGTCCTTTTACAAATCACATTTCATAATTCACATTTGCTTCGGGCTTGTGAGGTATTGATCTCCCTCTCTAGCCTGTGAAATAGAGCAAGGCCCCGCTAGCCACTGTTTACCCAGCTTACGGGACATGTTAGAATACCACCCAGCATGCGTTGGGAATAGTGTCCCTGCGTCTCCTGCTAACAGTGAGTCCAGGCTGGGCCTTAACAGAAACACAGAGCCAAACACCTGCTCCAGAGCTACGCGCTGCCAAGTTCAGGCCATCTGGGATGGTCTGCTTATGTGCACATGCCAGTGGACTTCTAGTCAGGCTGCCATTGGAGCCCGAGTGTAAGACAGAAGGAGGAAGTGGCCTTTGCCCTTTTGGATCTCGTTTCCTTTTCTACACACCTGTTGCTGCTGTCAGACATAAACTGTGGAATGAGAAAACCAAAACCTGAAAAGATATCCCTGCCAGGCAAGCTCTGCTTCAGATGTTGATGGCACATCCTGTGAGCCTGGTCCTAGTGTTTTGGAGACAAGGCCTGGGGCCATAGGAAGAAGGCTTAATAACACCTCAGATTTCAAACACTGGTGTGAAATTATCGACATCGTTTCCTTGGCGATCGAGGCCAGTCTTTACTATTGTCTCTTACCTGCTTTGGGGACTGTGATTCTGTTTTACCTATTTGGTATAAATGAATGTACAAGTATCACTCGCTGCGAAAGTTCACGTTATGCCACTTCACGTTTGTGCAAGACCTCCATTAGTGCCTGTTTTCACTAACTCAAAGGAACCACAAGAGGATTTGCGCTTTTATGAAAAAAGGCAGGAGGTGAAAACAGACTTCAGGTGTGTACCGCTCTCAGCGTTTACCCCGCAGGAAGCAGCAGTCAGAGTGGCGCCCCCAGGTGCCTACACCTGGGGACTACACCTGTAGTGCCCCCGGGAACTACAGCAGCCTCTTAGCATCAAGCCCCCACCTCCTGACCATTTATGTCGTGAGTCAAATGAGCAAGATGTGTCCTAAGGTATCAGAAAAACCTAAGAGAGGTTATTGGGGGGGGGGGGGGGGGGGGCTGGGAATGCTTAAAACTTTCCCCCTATAAATTAGTGGTAATTGCTTCTTTGCTTTACACCCTTTATGCTTTTTGAAAGTTTTCATAGGAGCACTCCACTTTCAGGTACAGGGGGAAACCTGTACGTTATAGATGACTACTATTCATTATGTGTTACCATATAAAATATAAACTGTAGACATATTTATATATACAATATAAAACAGAGACCATGTGTTCAATTATATATTTATTGAACATTTTTGCAGAGGCTCCCTGAGCTCACTTTCCCTCTGCCCTCATGGGTTCCACTGTCAAGACCATCAAGACGTCCATTTCCATGCGGCTCTATACCACCTGCCTGTCATGTCCTCAGACAGTAGCCACATCACACATAGAGTCTCTAGGAACACGGATAAACCCTGCACAAATACAAGTATCGGACTAGAACATAAGTCCAGAGAGGATATTTATTTGAAGAAGTGGTAAGCAAAGAGGCCATAGTGTTTTTCTGGGGTGAGTAAAAGGAGAGAGAATTACTAATCTCTGCCCTAGTGAACCGATTCCGTTTAATGAGCTTGGTGGCAGAGCACAGAAGCCAGCAGAACCATGAAGCTCAGTTCTGGTGAAGGCCTGGTTGTGGACTGGCT